TTGGCCCTCTGGTCAAAAGGGCTTCCTGGAAGTTCTCTGAAGAAGCGTATTTCCTTCCAGCTTTTGAAAACTTGCCCGTGGACCTTCTCCACCGGGAGAAAACTCATCTGAACAGAGCCCGTCAGTCCGAGCTGGGGCAGGGATGGGGATGGGGAGTCCTGCTGTCCCCTGGACACCGTGAGAGCATCCACCCCGTGCCAGCGAGTGTAGGTCCTGTTTGGTGGTTGTGTTACTTCCACAGTGACTTGTAGCATGAGTGCTTCTGATTTTTGGTTTGAGAGCTATCTCGGGAGACCTTCTTTCCTTTCTGTGCTCCTCCCCTTCGTCCCCACTTGTCAGGGTCAGTTCTCATGAGACAATTCTGGAAGGCAAAATCTTTTCAAAGTGGGTGCTGTAGAGGTGTCCTGTCATCTGGGCATGCACCATTCCAGGCAGGAGGCCCCAGAGTGTCCATCTGCATTCCAAGCAAGGAGAGGGAGGATTAGTCTCCAGCCCTGGCCCTCAGGCACAGCCTGGCCATGGGCACAGCACCGAGCTCTGTGGTGGTGGAGAATCACCAGAGCAGTCTCATGTCTCACCAGTGAGCGAAGGTGGTTCATCACGGGCTGCGAGTCCTTTGTGCTGTTGTGAGGAATAGTGATGGAGAAGCTTTTGAAGGCCGGTACGAACACACCTGGAAGCCAAGAGCAGGAGCACAAAAGACTTGCCGAGGAGAAGGGGAGCATTTCTCTTTGGAGCAGTTAGAGGTGTGTTCCTCTGTTGCTGGGTCTGTCCTCGCTTTTGCAACCCTTGGAGAAATTTGGACCAGATACAGAGTTCAAAGGAAGAATCCTCATCCATTAGTGACTCATTCAAGAAATCTTCTTTTTAATACCTTCAGTGAAAGTAATCCCAGAAGGGTTAATTAGCTGTCCTACAAATGCATAATCCCTCTTTCGTGGGTTAGAACTTCCCTTTTCATCAGACTGGTGTTTCTTTGTGAGGCTGCTTCCCCTGAGACCCCTCCTCCCTCTTTGCTGGTTCCAGTCAGGTCCCGGCATGTGCTGTGGGCACCAATCAGGCCTTGTCTTCTGCCTCTCAAAAGACTTAATTTTTTCTGGCTAAGCTGAAGAAGAAATCCGGACAACCCATCTCCTGCTGCTGCCAGACTGCCACCACCGAGCTCTGCGGTACAGGGCTTGAGAGCTGCCACAGCCTGCATTTCAGGTGTTCAGAGAAGACAAGCTTGAAGGCAGCCCCATAACGGTGATCGGAGCTGCCACGTCCCACCTCACAGAGTTGGGCCACCTGTGGCCACCAGCAATCCCACCGTCTCTGGGCTGCTGGTCTGCCAAGGCCCGGCTGGAGCACCACCAGAAGCAGAAAGTGAAGAAAGCGTTTTGTTTTTCTTATTGAGCTCCCCAGTTACATTGACTTGATGTTGCCTAGAGGAGAAGCAGATGACACCGTAGCACTCACGAGGCCTGACAAAGCTGAAGTCCTCGAGAGCAGCACCCTGAGACATGGCAGCACTTGGCCTCAGCTGCTGCATCCCCGTCGGTGTGTGTTCCTCAGGCAAAGCTCATGACACACCAACACCAGCCTGCGGTCACGAGGAGCAGCGACCCAGGACCAAACCCTCTAAGCAGGTGTCATCACTGCACAAAGCGTGCAAGTCCTTGGCAGGGATGTGGTGCTGGGGTGAGCCATCACACCCAGAAGAACTTACCAGGCTTCGGAGCAGGGTGAAGGGCCTGTGACCGAATAGCTGGACCAGTGGCCCATAATGAAGTCAGCTTCCAGAGCTGGAGAGGACGTCAGAGACTGGTGGGCCATCTGCGTGGCTGGCAGAGCAGCACTGCTGACGGCGTGGAGAGGCAACGGCACGTTGCCAACAGTCCATTGCACTGGCCAAGCCCGATGTTCTGCAGAGGAGAGCAGACCTACAGACTACATCTGCTGGCCAGCCATGCCCAGAGAGGTCTCCTGTGGCACCAGCTGTCTCCTCTCTGCAAGCACATACCAGCTGTGGAGCTGATCCCTCTGTGGCTCCAGCAATCCCACTCCCCAGGAGCAGGAAGAGCCAACATCCCGGGTCCCAAAGACCTCCAAATCTAAAAGAAACTGCCGAGAGGCAGGGAGGCCTCGCCAATGATGTGGGTCTCTGTGGGACCCTCATCTCCACTGCTGGCAATGCCCACACTGCCAGACAGCCCTCGGGCATCCATCGCCCCGGTGAGGAGCACAGGGTGCTGCAGGGACTTGTCACCCTCCGCTGGAGTCTCCTCTCCCTTCACAGGCTCTGGCTGCAGCTCCCGCTCTGTCCCACCTCGGGTGGGTTAAACAAGCCTTGGGCACGTTGGCTGCCGTGTCTGCAGCCATTCCTACTCGTGGTCACCTTTCTTGAACACGAGTGACCAGAACCATGCTCAGCATTGCAAATATGGGTGTGTTGGTGTCTCCCCCAGCGACATGAATTCACCCTTAATTCTGTGAGAAACACACATCTTGGATCTTGCCTGTTTCTCTTGCCTTTCATAGAATCGTAGAATCATAGAATCACAGCTCAGCTCCATCTCCCCTCTTTTGGTGTCAAACCCTTCCCCCTCCTCCTAGGGCTCCCCTCCCTCATCCAGAGTCCCTCCCCAGCTTTCCTGGAGCCCCCCTTGAGGGACTGGAAGGGGCTCCAAGGTCTCCCCGGAGCCTTCTCTTCTCCAGGCTGAACCCCCCCAACTCTCTCAGCCTGTCCCACAGCAGAGGCCGTGCTGTGTTGGTGCCTCCCAGTCCCCCTCTCCTGGGATCTCCCAGAGCTCTCTCCCCCTCCATCGCTCCCAGTGGGGAGCTCTCTGCCAGCCCCCCAGGCAGGGCGCCGTGTCTTGCCCCGTCACTCTCCTGTCTCCTGTGCCGCAGCCCTCAAGGTCACTTGGCTCTTCCTCATCCGTATGGACGGCGCTTCCCAATTGTGATTCATCGTCAGGCTCCTTGATCACTGTCCTCCTCTCTGTGCCAGGCCAGCAGGGAGCAGGGCTGGGGGGGCTGTGCCAGAGCCCGCTCACCCTGAGCAGACCTTCACCTTCACGTTCAGCCCATCTCCTCGGAGCCATCTCTCTAAGAAGCCCTTAGTGCTCCTCAGCCCCCCAGAAGTGTGGGTCTGGTGGAGTGTGTGTGTTCCTGGCAGCATGACCTGTAGCCCTGGGGCTCCTCTGGCCAGCAGCAGGTTTTCCAGGGTGTCCATCTGTTCCCAGGGGGGGACCTGAGGTGGGGTGGCAGAGCTCGGAGGGCAGCAGGGCAGCAGGGGGGGTCCGTGCAGACAGCCCGAGGATGCTGCTGTGGTGACTGATGTCACATCCAGGAGCCAGGGAGCTGTGGTTTGGTGACATTTTGACCAGCAGAGTGACATTGCTGACCCAGACGGGTGGCCATGGACTATTTAGCCACGTGATAACCAGCCCAGCCCCAGTAACGATGGGCCTCTTGGCCCGGGGCTGTGCAGCCCTGAGGCAGCGAGGTCTTCCTCCCCTTCCTCCTCTCTCTGGCCCCCCCACAGCTGCAGCACGTCTGCGGTGGGGCTCCCCAGAGCTGCAGTGGGATGTGGGTCCCTGCTGAGAGCCCCCCTGGGAGCTGAGACCCCACCACGGAGCAGGGACCGAACCCCGGGATGGGTTGGGTTTAGCTGCCAGGACAGAGACCGCGTGGGAGCCCCAGGTCCCAGCTGTGTCCCCAGGTGCAGTCAGTGGTGGGTGCTTCTGGAGGGAGACCCCAAAGCAGGGCAGGGACAGAGCCAGGCCCAGCAGCGCCTTCCCTGCCCCCCCCCCCCCAGGCTGAGGCAGCTCATGGTGCTTGAAGGACTCATCCTCCATGACCTCACCCTCTCAGGTTTTAGATAGAGTCACAGAAGCGTAGAATCACCCAGGTTGGAAGGGACCTTTCAGATCATGGAGTCCAACCATGGACCCAGCACTGCCAAACCCACCCCTGACCCATGTCCCTCAGCACCACGTCTGCCCAGCTTTCAAATCCCTCCAGGGATGGGGACTCCACCACTGCCCTGGGCAGCCTCTGCCAAGGCTTCACAGCCCTTTCCATTAAGACATTTTCCCCAACATCCATCCTAAACCTCCCCTGGGGCAACTTGAGGCCGTTTCCTCTTGTCCCATGGCCTGTTCCTTGGGAGAAGAGACCGACCCCCACCTGATTCCATTTCTTCTCTCGTACCCAGGGCACTTGTTCGTGCCAGGGCAGGCAGGGAAGGCAGGAGGTGGTGGCGGAGGGAAGGTGTGTGTGCAGCCTGGATTGTCCCCATCAGGCTCTCGTCGTGGTGAGCAGTAGGGCCAAGTGCTGCAGGAGGGACTGTCCCCTGCCCAGCTCCATGGCCTGTCCCCACCATGACACAGGCTGAGGCCGGGGAGGTGGACATGGCTTAGTGCAAGGGGAAGAGCCATCCAGGCACCTCTGGGCTGCCTGAGCCCACACTGACCAGGGGTCACCCTCGGGTGAGGATCAGACCCTGCTGCCTCCATCCTCGGGGTGATGGGATGGTCCTTCCGTCCCCACTCTGCTCCTGGGGAGATGCCAGAAGGTTCCCTCTTCTCCCAGGGCTGTTTTGCTCCGAGTCCGTGGTGGGACCCATGAGCATGGGGATGTGGGGCAGTCAGTGAGGGGAGATGGGGTCCCCGATGGGAGACTGGGGCTTTGGTGCAGCTTGGGCAGGGCGAGGTGCAGGCTGTTCAGCTGCAGCAGGTCTTGGTGTGTGCCCAGGGGCCACCTTCCTCCCGGGCAGGTGGCCAGGGGCTTCCGAGCGGCGGCGGCGGGGACAGGTCTGGCCGGGATCCGGAGATGCAGGAGATACTTGCTCGAACCTCTTCTACCTCCTCTGGAGCAGCCCCGGCAGGGCTCGCAAGGAAGTCTTGGCTGAGGAGCTCCGAGCCGT